CATTACCATCATCACTTTGTGTATATAATTGATATAAATGAGGCTATATTAAGTTGAAATAATTTAAAGTTGATTTGACTAGGACATCCTTACATTTTGTTCTCATTTGGTCTTGAGACAGGGTCCCACTTGTAATTCAGGCTAGCCTCAAACTTACTCTTCCTTCCTTATTCTCAGAATGTTGGGATTTTAAACATATGTTTCTGTTAGAGTAAATTAGACAGCCAGAAAACCACTCAGACATACAGGTACAAAGAATAAAGAAAAGAGTTATTGCCAATAAAAGGACAGGCAAGACCCCTTCTCACAACAGAGAAGAAGTAACAGCTATTGTGACTTTTATAACTTCTGAGCTTTTGGGAATCTTGCTGCCTTATATGGTTATAGCTTTCCCAAAGGAGTGCTCACTCAGGTGACCCATAGGTTTAGGGGATCTTGCTGCCTTATATAGTGCTAGCTGCCACAGACCAGTGCCTTTTCTAAATGGGCCTAGTTTTGCCTAGGGAAAGAGGATGCTAAGCTATGAGAGAGGAGGCTATTGGGCTAACAGTTTCCATGCCTGGCAAGTTTTGGGAGGACCACTTCGCTAGGTTTTGGTTGAGATAGCCTGATAGTTGAGATAAATGGCAAGATGAGTTATCTTTTTGCCCTGTATAAACACTCTCTGTAGGTAGACTTGGACACAGCCTTTCATACTTTTCCAGAGGTCTTTGAAAGGTTTTGAGTAGTTTGTTGTTGTTGTTGGTGGTGATAGAGCTTGAACTCTGCGCCTGGGTGCTGTCCCTGAGCTCTTCAGCTCAAGGTGAGCACTCTACCACTTGAGCCACAGCGCCACTTCTGGTTTTCTGGTGGTTAACTGGAGATAAGAGTCTCAAGAACTTTCCTGCCTGGGCTGGCTTTGAACTGAGATCCTCAGATCTCAGCCACCTGAGTAGCTAGGAATACAGGCAGGAGCTACTGGTGCCCAGCACAGTAAATTTTTTTTTTTTGGGTCCAGTTGTGGGGCCTGAACTCTGGACCTGAGTGCCGTCCCTCAGCTCTTCAGCTCAAGGCTATCGTTCTACCACTTGAGCCACAGTGCTACTTCCGGCTTTTTTCTTATGTGGTACTGAGGAATCGAACCAGGGCCTCATGCATGCAAAGCAAGCGCTCTACCACTGAGCCACCTTCCCAGCCCATCAACAGAGTAAAATTTTTAAGGAAAAAACCCCACTCCTCTCAAACAATTGCATCTTTTCTCCCATGGAGACAGGAGAAAGAAAGTAAAAAAAAACAAATTGAAGTCCTTAAAATGAATTCTGAATTTGGATTCTTATCCTGGATTGGCTATGGCTGCTTTGTTGGGAAGGAGGAAGAGGTTTTAATTCCAAGCTGGTCTCAGTTCCAGTGTTCCAGAGATAATTTTATTATTGATTGCTCTTGGAGCCATTTTAAAGAACTTTATTTTATTTTGTTAAAAAATGGTAGGCCAGGCACTGATGGTTCATGTCTATAATCCCAGCTACACAGAAGGCTGAGATCTGAGGATTGTGGTTCAGAGCCAGCCCAGGCAGAGAATCTCGTGAAATTCTTACCTCCACTCAAGTAGGAAAAAATAATTGGAAGTAGAGCTGTGGTTCAAATTGGTAGAGTACTAACTTTGAGCACAAAAACTCAGGGACAGTACCCAGGCCCAGAGTTCAAGCCCCATAACTGGCAAAAAAAGTGGTGGTGGGTGAAACCCCCTAAAAAGGGAAAAAAAGTGGATTTTTTTTTTACTGGATCTGGTAAATCAATTAATACCAGAGCTAATTTTCATGAGACGAGCATGTTAGTTTATTAGTTTTTTATATGTATAAGGAGGTCTTCCCAAGAAAGAAATTTGAACACATAGCAAAGTATATTTATATTTTAAAGGCAAACAACAGAAAATTCCTGAAGGAAGAGCAGGACAAATGGCTATCTGGACTAGGGGAGTAAGTTCTGGGAATGTGATTAAGACATACGTGGGGAGGAGATTACAAGTTAGTGAAAGATAAGTCACTTTCATGTGTTTTCTTAAGGCTCCTTGTTACAGGAATTAAAGAGGCTCAAGGGAGGTTTCAAAAAAGATGAAGGCCTCTATCTGGCCTTCACTTTGTGTACCAAGTTTATAACATTGTCACAAAATAGAATTTTAGGACACACTGAGGTAGAGATCAAGAAATTTGTTTGTCTAAAGTAAGATACCATATATATGTGCTTGGTTCTGCTTCTTTCCTCAGTCCCAAGGCTAACACCAATGTTTGAAATGATAAAAACAGATAAAACAGATAAAAACATGTTTGAAATGATACCCACAGAAACAGCAGAACAATGGATGAACCACAGTAACATTGATACTCACTTGACACTATGTTGGATATGAACATTACAGCTTGGTTGGGGGGGGGAGGGAGGGGTAAGTGGGAAATAAAGAGGGACGGGGGTAACAATGATTAAAAACGAATGTACTTATTGCCTTACCTATGTAACTTAACCCCCCACAGCTCATCACCTTCTCAATAAAAGGTTAAAAGAAAAAAATACCTTCAAGACTACCCTTCTCACTCCATTCCAGTGTCCAAGAGGGCAGGAAGACTGTCACTTGAGTATTACTTGTATTCAAGTGGTATAGTGGCCAAAGGTGGAAACTTTGAATTGATTAGATCTGGGAACTGGGAAATACCCTCAGCAAATATTTTCATATATACATATACTATACTTAGGCCAAAATCACCTCCTCTGTTATTGTTTCTTCTCTTCTTCTCATCCTTTCCCTTCCTTTCCCTTCCCTATTTTGAAGCAGCACATTTTTGCAAGTCTCATTTGCCTCTTCTTTCAATCTTTGACACATCATGTTCTTAGCCTCTGTAGGCTTGTGGGAGAATAGTTATGAAAAAGCACATAATGTCTTAGTATTGTTGTTCTTCTGGTTTCTCATTGCTGTGGTAACAGATTGCCACAAGCTTAGTGGCTTAAAACAATGAAAATTTATTCCCTTGTAGTTCTAGAGGTCAGAGGTCAGAAATGAGTTTTTGGGATTAAATTAAAGGATTAATAGGGTTGCAGCTTTGTGTAGGCTCTCAGATGAGGCACCGTGTTTCTCCTAGAGGCAGGAGTGTGTGGGCTGGGGCCTCATTCATCCAGTCTTTTCTATCTTTGAGAGGCTACATGTGTTCCTTTCCTTTTGTCTCCATTTTCTATTATTCCCAATGTGCCTCAGTCATCGTATCATAGAGGAGAAGGTGATATGATGAGTGAGGCTCCTCTGCCTCTCTCTCCTCAGGATCCCTGAGATTATATAATAATGCAGGATGACTTCCCTTTCTCAATACCTGTAAATTAATTGTATCTGCAATTTCTCTTTTGCTAAGTAGAAAAGGTGCATTATTTGAGGGCCTTTGTCTAAACAATCATAGTTGTGAAACATTTTCACTTTATGGACTACCTGAAATAGTCTTAAGGACCCCTAGAGGTTTCTGGATAATCCTTGAGAAACAATTTGTGGTGGAAGAAGTAGAAGTTGGCATCTGTGGGGTGCATATAGCCTGAACTTGTGCTGACAAATGGCATTGAGTTAAGTGATTGACATGGCTCTCTTTTCCCATCATCACATGTAATGCTTGAGTGAATCCTGAGCCAATGTAACTTGCTTGTGCCTGTGATTTCTGTAGTTTTGCCTCGTCCTGGTTCAGATCTGGGCCATGTTGGAGCTGAACTGGAGCTTCTTATTCAGGGAAAGACACTCAACTTTCTTAAAGATGAAGTGTTAAACAGTGACTATGGTTGCAGAGTGACTCCACACACTATCTATGTGATGATCACTAATGAGACTTTTTCCTGGACCCTCACATGTTACCTTGCATGTGACTTTCTCAATACTATACTCTTGTCCATTGCCTGATGTCTGCTTTCCTGCTGCTGCCAGCAAACATAGGGATTAAGGTCCATGTGATTTGCTGAGTTGTTTCAGGACAAAGAGAGTGAGGAAAGCAGGGCAAGACAAAGATATGGCGTCTAGATTCAGCATGAATTGATGGGAAGTTCTGAGACATAAATTGTACCACAGAGCTGGTTCTGCAGGCTGCTCTTTTAATTCTCACATCAGTCATTCATTGCTTATTGGCTGTCTGACTTTGAGGTTTATCCTAGAGCAAGAGTATATTAACATGCTCGAATTGTCATAACAGAATGTTGTATACTGGGTGGCTTAAACAACAGAAACTTATTCCTTATAGTTCTGGAGGCTGGAAGTTCAAGGGCAAGGTATTGACTCTTTTGCCTTGTTGATAGCTGCCGTCTTCCTGTCTTCACATGGCAGAGAGCAAGTTTTCTAGTGTCTTTTCTTATGAGGGCACTATCTGTGATGAAGACTCCACCCACATGACTTTATCTAAACATATTGCATCTTAAAGGCCCCATGTCCAGATACTGTCACATTAGGGGTTAGGGCTTCAACATATGATTCCCACCCCCACCCCACCCCCTCCACCCACTGTCCTGGGGCTTGAACTTAGGTTGCTGTCCCTGAGCTCTTTAGCTCAAGGTGAGCACTCTATCACTTGAGACACACAGCACCACTTCCGGTTTTCTGGTGGTTTATTGGAGACAAGAGTTTCATGTATTTTCCTGCCTGGGCTGGCTTTGAACCACAATCCTCAGATCTAAGCCTCCTGAGTAGCTAGGATTACAAGCGTGAGCCACCGGCACCTGGCTTCAACATATAAATTTTAAGGGGATGTAATTCAGGCAAGAGCATAATTGTAATTGCTAAGAGCAGCTCTCAATAGTATGAGGATATATCTCTGGAAATGGGGTGTTGAGAGTCCCTAGCTATAGCCAACAATCACTGCAGCTGGGAGTGGCTACCCGTGCGGGGAGTCTGGGAATGACACTGTGGCCTCAATTCTACCTGTAGTCCTGGTTTACATGCGAACACCTGCTGCATGCTTCTCTGCCTCCTGAATGTGTCTGGGGCTACATCTCTTCACCAGAGACAAATGGGTAGTGAAAGAATCCAGATACTGCTGAGAGTAAGGCAACACAGAGATGATTTTTACTGTTTTATTTTTGTTTGGATCACCATTACTTATCTTTCTCACACTGGTATTGTTTTTTATACTTAAAATATCAAATAAGAAGTTGTAAGTCTAGGTTTTAGTTAAAAAAATTTTTTTTTTGTTGATCCTGGAGCTTGAACTCAGGTCCTGGGAACTGTCCCTGAGCTCTTTTGTTCAGGCTAGTATTCTACCACTTTGAGCCACAGTGCCATTTCTGGTTTTCTAGTGGTTAAATGGAGATTAGAGTCTTGTGACTTTCTTGTCAAGGCTGGCTTTGAACCAGAGGTGTAAACCATCAGTGCCTGGCTTGGTTTTTATTTTAATTAATTAATTAATCAATTAATTTTGGCAGTCCAGGGGGCTTGAACTCAGGGCCTGGGCACTGTCCTTGAGCTTCTTTTGCTCAAGGCTAGGACTCTACCACTTGAACCACAGTGCCACTTCTGGCTTTTTCTGTTTATGTGGTACTGAGGAATTGAACCCATGCATGCTAGGCAAGCACAATACCCCTAAGCCATATTCCCAGCCCTTGGTTTTTTATTTTGTGTGTCTAAAATTTCAGTAACACCTGGACTTGTCTTGACTCTGTGGTATATTTTGTTTCTCTTTTCAGTCTGGTTTTAGCAATATTCTTGCTGTTGTATTACCTTTGGACACAGGCAAAAAAGGAAGTCTTTGCTTTAGAGGGCCCCCTTTGGCCATTCTTCAGTTGTTTGCTCACAGGCAGGTGTCTTGGGTGCAGTTACCTGGAGTTCCTACCTTCCCTTTGGTCTATACTATGAGTTTCAAGGTCTTGGATACCCCACCAGTGGTTCCTGCTCCCAGGGCCTGCACAGACCTTATTTACAGTCTATTCTTCCGAGGCTTGCTCAAGGATATAGTGTGGTCAGATGTTCCTAGTAGTCCTGTGATATGCTCTGTGCTAACATGCATGTGGAGTTGCTCACACTGTGTGGGGCTCAGTGGGAGCTCCCATCCTCTCCATTTTATGACAGGTCAACATTTTTATATCTTTCCCCAAGAGCTCTAAAAAGAAAAAAATTGTGATGATCAGTGGGAAATGTAACCAAAGTGTTTAAGACATTTGCCATTAAAAGGTGGGAGCAGAGAATCTAGGAGTGAGGAAGGACAGGTTTTTACATTGTAAATGCTTTATCGTTCTAGGATAGATAGATATAAAGGACAGATATGATAAACATAGTTGAAACACTGCCTGCTGAAATTCGTCATGGCAGTAGACAGCTCAGAGATTATTTCCTATATTTGTAGAACCATGTCCTTAAAAACAGCATTTTGTTCTTTTTACAGGGTTCCCCCAAGAGACTTGGCTGTGCTACTGTGCAATAAATCCAGTGCATTTTACAGCTTTGGTAAATGGAATGAAGCATTGCTTGCTGCCAAGGAGTGTCTTCAGTGGGACCCAACCTATGTGAAGGTATGAGGTGATGTCTTGTTTCCCTGTGTTCTTTATTTGCTGTCTTCTCACCCTTCTTTTAAATATTCATTAGCTGTTTTCTCCTCTTTCTTTTAAATATGGACATGCTAGGAATACTTTTTCTTCAATGCCCTGTGCACTTAAGACAGAGGACCATAGTCAGGGGAGCATTATCTCAAGAAGAGCAGAGACATACTTGTTGGAGATAGTGGAGCTTGGCTACCTAGCAAATGAAGTGCAGTGAGATTATAGAAGGGTTCATTTTGTCCTGATATAGTTACACAAATACTTACAGTATGTGTTCTGCACTGTCTATGTGTTTCATTTTAGTAAAGCTTTGTAGAAGATATGATGTTAATCCAGAAAGCATTTCTGAGAGTAGAAAACCACCCTCTTTGGAGGGACTAAGCAAGTGTCAGCATTCTTGGTGCTCAGGCAAGTCAGAGGACTGGAAGATACTATCCCCACTTAAACTGGAGAAAGGAATAGCATGAAAGTTTAAATTAAATAGCTTTAAATTAAATAGCTTTAAATTAAATAGCAATTCTGGAGCTATCTGAAGTAACAATTATGTGTCAAATTAGTTGCCTAGATGACAGTTTATAGAGAGACTATGATAAAGTGGGAAAAGCATCAGTTTTTCTGTCTCACATTTTTCCTATGAACTGGTTTCAATAGCAGCCACATTACTCTTAAGCTTTAATTTCCTCAACTGTAGAATGAATTAATACTTGCACCTTTGAGTTGCTTCAAGGGACAAGGAGATACTAAGTTATTAGTACTCAGTAACTAGAATTTTTTTATTATTTTGTATGACTGCTGTCTCCATCTCTTTTTCTTCCTTTTCCCATTCCTTTCTTCTTCCTTTTTTGAATTGTTTGGGATTGAGTGTTTTACCATGGAGCCACACCCCTAGCTCAGAAAATGGGAGTACATTTCTAAGAAATTCTTCCTAAGGACATTTTAAGATGTTTCCACCCTCTAGGTAAGATTGGGTGAGGCATAGTTAGGGTCTGCCCAGATTCCTGAGATTGTGGCTCTGGTCTAAGGCCTGAAAGGATGATACTCCCAGCTTCACTAATGGCCAAATCTACAGCAGCAGCCCCTAATAGTATAACAAGGTGGGCTACTTTCCCTTTCTTGCCCAAAGTTCTTGGATGCTTCTCTTCTCTTTCCCTTTTCCACACTTTTCTACAAAGAAAGGACTCAAGTTTTTTTTTCTGTGTATTTAGGTTCAGTGTCTGTGGCCCTGTGAGTTTAGAATGACAAAAGATAGATTTGCAGGAGAAAAGCACACCTATTTGATCTTATTTTATATGATTTGGGGACCTTCCTAGAAAAGAAGTGATCCACGAAGAAAGGAACTGGCCTAAGAACTTACATACTATATATATATATATATTTTTTTTTTTAACAGAGTTAAAAATAGGTGATAAACTGTGGTGACATGACAAGACAAAGGAAAAGAATTTTCAAGCTGCAGACTATAAAAACTGCAAAAGCCAAATGTATGAGGAAAACAAATGGAGGAAAAAGGCTGTTTTAATTTTAGCAAGTTTTGTGCAGGCTCATCTCAGTGTTTGCCTCCTGTTTCTTTATGAGAAAAAACTTCTCTAAGGGCTGGGAAGGTGGCTCAGTGGTAGAGCTCTTACCTTGCATGCCTGAGGCCCTGGGTTCAATTCCTCAGCACCACATAAGCAAAAAGAAAAAAGCCGGTAGTGGCACTGTGGCTCAAGTGGTAGAGTGCTAGCCTTGAGCTGAAGAGCTGAGGGACAGCACCCAGGCCCAGAGGTCAGGCCCCACAATCAGCCCCCCCCCCAAAAAAAACTTCTCTAAGAGAGGGGATTTATGGTAGTCCTCATTTCTTAGGAATTTCTGCTTTTAGTTAGGAAACCTCTATGAAGGCTTTATTTTGCATTTATTGAAGCAAAAATACCTTCAGCTTAATATTTCATAGTGGTATATTCTGAACACCTTCACCTTCCTTCAAAATAAAAAGATGGAACTTGGATTTGAGGAAGCAAAGAAGTGGAGATTCTATACAAGCTTGCCTAATTAGTTAAAAAAGCACACACGCCCAATACAAAATACATTTTTTCTTTCTTTTACTGATTGTTACCTTAGGTCTTTGACTTTCAAGTGAAGGTTAAAACAAATAATCAGAACTCAATGTTAGGTGGACTTTTTAAGTGTCTGCTTTTAAAGAACCCACTGTGTGAATATGTTCTGTTGACTAAAAAAGTGTTTCAGTGGACCCTGATGCTTCATTGTATAATTATGGTGGAGAAAGCAGAATCATATTACTCTTATTCTAGAGTCTTACAATTTGCGTAGAGGCAAAACTAGACTCCTTTTCCCTATTAGTCATAATTTCTTCCTTCTACAAACATTAAAAAATGGCCTATTGTGTATCTTGTTTATAATGTGGAACTCAGTAAATCAAATACATGTTTGTCATTACAACTTTTCTTATATGCCCAGTGGAAATTATGTTTATTTTACTGAAAGGAGCAGACAATAACTTCTGTGTCTACATGAAAATCTTATTTTCCTTAATGCTAGTCATAGTATTTTTTAATTTCTCTGTTCTGGCTCAGATTGTGATTAGCAGTATTAATAATAAGCTGAATACGTAGTTGAAACTAGGCCTGCTTCCTTCTTTCAGTATCATATGTTAGATATGTTAGTTATGGGTCTGCAAATGATTATGTATTTTCTTGGCAGTGTGTGGGAGAAGAAAAATATGGCACAGAAAATAATGTTCAATGTTTGTTAGAAATCTGTGTTTGCAAAGAATCAAAGCTTTTGGAGTTGGATTTCTTGTGCTGCAATCTTAATTTTCCTTTTAGTAGCAGACTGGAGGAGATGGGGCCAATACATCTTTGTTCTTTATCCTGTTGCAGGGATACTACCGAGCTGGTTATTCTTTACTGCGCTTGCATCAGCCATATGAAGCTGCTCGTATGTTTTTTGATGGTTTACGACTTCTGCAGAGCAGCCAGGACCAAGCACAAGTTCCTGATTTCCTTGTTGGGATCTTCACCACTGTGAGCAGTAAGTTGAATTGGGGAAGGTTTTTTAGTGAAATAAAGTCATATATTTATTATTAAAGGCTATACAGAGGGGCTACCATTTCACAAATTGGGTTATGAGTACATTTATTTTTTTGAACAATGTCACTCTTTCCCTTACTTTTCCCCAGATTCCCCCTCCCACTTCTGCCGACAAGCTATGTAGATCATTTTCCACATAGACTGAATAGCATGATTGAATTTGTTTACCCTTCTCTCCCTTTTTGCATCCCCTTATCTCCTCCCAAATGAGAAAAAAAACAAAGCAAAAACAAACACAACCTCCATCACCATCACCACTAATAACAATAACAAAAAAGCTATACTTCATTTCCTGGAGTTTGTTTCAATAAATAAATGTTCAGAGAAGTTACACCTTTGTGTTCCAGAGGGTTTAAAATTTTAAGTCCTTGTTATTTCATTTGAATGCCTTTTGGGGAAATAATTATAGGATATTTCTTTTTTGTACTTGATGGATATAGTCTGAGTGAGACTTAGTTTGTTCCTAGAGTTTGACTGATCTTTTGTGCTCAAGGGTAGCATGCTACCATTTGAGCACAGCTTCATTTCTGGCTTTTTGGTGGTTAATTGGAGATAAGAATCTCACAGACTGGGTCTGGGAAGGTGGCTTAGTGGTAGAGCGCTTGCCTTGCATGCCTGAGGCCCTGGGTTCAATTCCTCAGCACCACATAAGCAAAAAGAAAAAAGCCGGAAGTGGCGCTGTGGCTCAAGTGGTAGAGCGCTAGCCTTGAGCTGAAGAGCTGAGGAATGGCACCCAGGCCCAGAATTCAGGCCCCATGACCGGCCCCCCCCCCCCGCCCCGAAAAAAAAAAAAGAATCTCACAGACTTTCCTGGGGGCTGGTTCCTAACCTTTATCATCAGATCTCCTTAGTAGCAAGGATTGCAGATGTGACCCATTGGTGCCTAGCAAGACGATTTTTTGGTGTGTGTCTTTTTTGGGATTGAACCCAGGATGTTTGCTAGGCGTGATCTTTACCACTTTTCCAGCCCCAAGACTATTTTTATTATAAAGTGTTTTGGTAGATTGGGTAGCCTTTGTAAAGACAATGAAGTCCTATTACACAAATGACTTAAAGATTTTTGAGTTTTGTTTTGGACCTGGTATGTTTTCTGTGTTCTGTATAGATAGCTCTTTATTAATACTTCTTTGTTTTATATGATTTTTGCTATTTCCTGTCATCTTCATATGTATTTTTCCAATTTTTGAAAATATAATGTTGTTTGCTGTATAAAAATAAAAGTTATAGGCTCATACCTGTAATTCTAGCTACTCAGAAAGAGGCTGAGAGCTGCGGCTCATGGTTTGAAGCCAGCCCAGGCAAGAAAATATGTGACTTTGAGCTCCAATTAAGCATCAGAAAAGCTGGAAATGGAACTGTGGCTCAAGTGGGAGAGCTCTAGACTTGAGCACAAAATCTCAGAGACAGTGCTCAGGCCCTGAGTTCAAGCCCTAGCGCGTGTACACACACACACACACACACACACACACACACACACACTAATAATAATAATAATCTGGAAGGGTCAACAGAGTTCTGTGACTCGACTCTGAGTGCTTGTTTTCACAGTTGTGATGCTTCTTGCCCAGTAAGTATTTTTCAGGCTGGTGCACTTGGTCTAAGAGGACTCAGAGGCAACCTTTTTCATCTCTACATTAGATTATTACTTATGACTGATCTGTGAGATGACTGTCTCAGAGTCCTAGATTAGGCAAAACAGAAACTTACATATAAACCCTTTGCCAGTAATGATACAGTCTAAAGTCCTGCCATTATCCAAGATATTGTTTTTTTTAATACTGTTTGATCAAATTTAAACTGCACTGATTTAAGTGTTTAATTTATGCTCAGCCAATAAAGACAGCATTACTTGTAAGATAATACACCTATTTCAAAGATATTAGAATATAAAAAATGACAGCAGAATCACTGAAAAGTGTTTTTTGACTTTAAGAAGTAGAACAACAAGTGATTAACTGTTGCAGACTCAATTATTCCCATTGTTATTGTGTATTCTCTGGTAGGAGTCTTACAGATTTTGACAGGCCTGGATAAGGGATTAGCAAATTATCAGGCATCAGTGGTAGGTGCAGCCTTGGATCCCAGACAGGAAATGAAAGGTCTTTAGATAACTGCTGATGAACCACAGCTTCCTAGTTCACCTTTTGCTCACAGTGGCCAAAGGTGGCTTCCCCCTCCCCCACCAATCTAATGACTTGGCCCATTCCTTGAATTTCCTACCTTTCCTGTATCTTTTTTTTTTTTTTGTCACATTGGGGCTTGAACTCAAGACCTTGTACTCCCACTGAGCTATTTTGCTTATAGTTATCACTTGAGCCACACCTTTAGTTCTGGCTTTTTGCCAGTTACTTGGAGTTAAAAGTCTGATGGATTTGTCTGCTTAGGCTGCCTTCAAGTTTTTGGGGTTGGTTGTAGGGCTTGAAATATGTGCGTGGGCCATGTTCTGAGCTCTTCAGCTCAAGGTGAGCACTCTACCACTTGAGCCACAGTGCCACTTCTGGTTTTCTGGTGGTTACTTGGAGATAAGAGTCTCACAGACTTTCCTGCCCAGGATGGCTTTGAACTGTGAGCCTTAGATCTCAGTCTCCTGAGTAGCTAGGTGTGAGCTACTATCACCTGGCTCAAAATTTTTTAATTTAAATTTTATTGTAAAGATGATGTACAGAGGGGTTATAGTTACATAAGTCAGGTAATGAGTACATTTCTTTTTGAACAGTGTTAGCCCCTCCTTCATTTTCTCCCACTGTTCCTCCTCCCAACCTCCCTCCCCTCAAGTTGTAAAGTTCATTTCCAACATAGTGTATAGTGATTATCCCTGTGGAATTGGTTTACCCTCTGTCCCACCATTTTTTGTGATTCCCTTTCCCTTGCCCAAATCAGATAAACTTATATACAAGACAAAGAGTACAGAAATAAAAGACAGTGACATCAGAGAATAAATCAAAGGGAAAAAAGAAAAAAAACAACTGCAAACTATACAATAAAAAAACCTCTTGTTTCCATTTCTTGGAGTTCATTTCGATAAGCATCATTTTATATGGTCATGTGCACATAGCTATTAAGCCATTGTGATCCTCTCCTAAGAATATCCTAGACTTATTCTACTTACTAGAAATGAGGGAAACTATGTTTCTTTGGGTCTGGCTTATTTCGCTTAGTATAATTTTTTCCAAGTCTTTCCATTTCCTTATGAATGAGGCAATGTCATTCTTTCTGATAGAAGTATAGAATTCCATTGTATATACATATCATATTTTCTTGATCCATTCATCCACTGGGGGGTGCTACTACACTGTTGGTGGAAATGTAAACTTGTCCAACCACTCTAGAAAGCAGTATGGAGATTCCTCAAAAGACTTAAAAATAGAGCTTCCCTATCACTCAGCAGTCCTACTCCTGGGCATTTACCCAAATGTCCACAATCAACCTGCACTAAAACCACCAGCACAACCATGTTCATTGCAGCATAATTTACCATTGCTAGGATATGGCTTCAAAGTTTTATCATCAGATTGCAGATTCCTAAGTTGCTAGCTTTATAGGTGTGAATCAGCAGTGTCTGGCTTTTATGAATATCTTGTAACAGTCAGTGTCCTGTAAGAAGCCAGGAATAACATGGGAATTCACACAACTGCTTCTTGGTAAGTATACCCTAAGATAACCTGGGTATACTCACGCTAAGAAAGTGCAATTTTGAGGCATTGGTTATTTTTCTACCAAGGTACTATGTTTTGCAGGGTGGATGTATGTCTATAGTTCAATTTCATATTTTTAATAGAATATATGTTTTCATATTCACTTATGTTTTGAAATTAATAAATGTAAGGTACCTTGTATTCTGCCCCTTAACCTGTCTTCTTGGACATTCTCATCTAAGTTTGAAAGATGTAGTTTGGAAGATCATGAGTTGCAGTGTGTTGATGAGGTACTAGGTTAGAAAAATACGTGTTAACTAAAAGAATTGATAGATCTGGGTTCCAGTCTTGATTTTTTATCAGTTAGCTACACGAGAGTTCAGCATAGTGGCTGATTTTCTAGCACTTGGGAAGCTGGGACAGATCATGATTTTGAGGACAGCCTGGGGTACATAGTAAAACTCTGTCTAAAACATCCATATCCTATATCCAAAACCCCTACCACCAATAAGTAAAATCTTTCAGTTAATTACCTAATAATATGCCATGAAACTTGCATTTATTTAACATAACTTCTGTCAGATAACAATAGTATTTATTATAGCAAGTAAGAATTTTTTTCTTAAACCTCATTTAAATTTTGCATTCCTTACTGTGTCAATGGAAATAATAGGCACTGTCTTAGTGGTTTGTTTGAAAGATTAAATATAAGCTCAAAATACTGGGTTCTACAACCAGACAAGCCAAGTGAATGTTAGCTCACTTTATACTGCCTGATTCTTTGAGATTGATTATATGGATAAACTTAGAAGATTGCTACCTCAGTTAATTATAAAGGAATAGGTATTTTGAAAATGCTTGTTTTTCCTGGTACTGGTGCTTGAACCCAGCGCCTCATGCTCTGGCCTGGCTTTTATTGCTCACAACTAGTGCTTTACCTATGCCTTCACTTATGGTATTTTGTTGGTTAATTGGATATAAAATGTCTCTCAGATTTGTCAGCCTCAAGTTGCTGTGATTATAGGTTTGAGCCACTGATGCTTGGCAATGCCTTTCTTTTTAATATATTTATTTTACTATTTGTCTATATGGTTCTCCAGTTTGTTTGGGGGACCTCCTGTTTCCCACTGCCTTCATTGGTGGACTTTCTGCTCACTGTTCCAGACTTTTCCACACTAAAATTTCTAAATTATAGAACTTTCTTTCAGGTGACTCCATTGTTTTGCAGAATTTCTTACCCTGCTTTGATCATATTTTCACTACTGAATTTTCAACAGAGGTGTGGCAATCTGCCATAGAAAAGTTGGCAAAGAAAGGATTATGGCATGTGAGTAAAAAGAGATGCTCTGTTTTGGAAAGTTCACTCTTGATTAAATGATTTTTTTCTGTTGTCACTGAGGGATTTTTACTATTTATCTTGTACTTACTTATCTTGATGCAGAATAACCTTTTAATTCAGATATCATTTAAGGTGTTGCTATGTTGCTGTGTTGTCACTAAAGCAGTAAACAGTTCATATGCTTAGTGGTATTTTGAGATGAGGAAAATAAACAATTTCATGCTCATCTTCATCAGCCTTTTTGTTTTGTATTAGTTAATGTAGGCCTGGGAAACCTATCTGTTCTGCACAGAAAGGCTTCTGTATAGTTCGAAGAGATTTCTATGAAGTCAAGCTAAATATAGTTTTAGTTAAATGAGATATAGCTATAGTCTACCTACTAATTTGGGTGAATTTACTTCCCCTTTAAGCCTTTTTCATTTGTAAGTTGCAGTGTACATATTTGTTCTCTTAGGTTTTGTTGAGAATTTAGAAGTAATGGACTAATGTATCTATATAATGTCTTATAATGTGCTAGGCACTAAGCTAAAGAGTTTTATAATACCTGACATATGCTAAGTGTCCAGTGAGTACTGGAGTTTTTGTTATTGTTGAGTTATAAATTCTTAAGAGAATGGACTAGCTGAGACTGGGAGTTTAGTTAGAAAGGGCTTGACAGACTTTTTAGATTTGAGCAGTCTAGAAAAGTAACCAAAGGCAAGGGCAACCTGTTTAAGTACTCTAGGCCAGGTGAGTTGAATGACTTTAGAATAGAGAATTCTGTCATTTTTGTCAAAGTCATGAATTCCATTGGAAGTGTAAATTAATGTATGGGGCTCCATTTACATTTATAGACAACTATATATTATAGTTTCAGGTGGTTTATGGGAAACCCCCAAACAATTAATTATGGAATTCCTGATGTTTACTCCCACATTAAGAGATCTTGGGAGGTCAGGTAGTTAGGATAAGGAAAGGAGACTATACTCTTAGGGAATGGGTTGTCAGAAATCTTGGCCCTGTTAAAAGACATTTGGGATCTTCTCTTTTTTTTAATAAGGTATCTAGACGAAGGGATCTATAAGAATGTTTGCATTTTTAATATATATTTTTTATTGTAAAGATACTGTACAAAGGGGTTACAGTTACATGAGTAAGGTAATGAATATATTTTCTATCGAGCATTGTTATCCCCTCCTTTGTTTTTCCCCTACCATCCCTTTCCTCCTCACTTCTCCAACTTCTCCCCTGCCCCCCCAAGCTGTAAAGTTTGTTTTCAACATAGTGTATGCAATTTTTAGGACTAAACTTTTAAAATATTTGCTTATTGTTCATTTAAAAATATTTTTGCTGTCTTATAAGTAGTTGTACAAAGGAGTTTCCATTCAGCAAAGCAGTTTATGAATACAGTGTGTCTTGATCAGTGTCAACCCTTTCAACATTCTCACTAAACCCTCCCAACCATACCCCTTCCCTTACTTTTCTCAAATTTGTGGGATACTTATTGATTTTTTTTTTGCTATTTAACAAAGCAGTTTATGTATACAATGCATCTTGATTTGTGTCACCTCTTCTACATTTTCACCTCCCCCTTCCCTCTATCCTTTCCCGAATTTTTCTTAATTTTGTGGTACATACAATGAATTCTTGATTGTATTCAACCCGCTTTTTTACTTTCATTTGTCTGCCCATCTTCCCTTGGTCCTACCCTCCTGATTTGCACCTTTATTTAAAAAATAGTTCTGAAATTCTGTGATTCCCACTGGTAGGGCAGGTTTAATATGTTAGAGGCTTTAGTCCTCCTTAGTAGAAATGTAGTTCAATTTATGAGCCAGACCTCCTAGTAGATTATCACCTTATACAGTCAAAGGAAGGCCAGAAAATCCAGCACAACTGGCAAGTCTAACATCCTGGCCTAAGTGGGACCCCAATAATTCTTTAATATTGGAGAACAAGGCATCTTGTAAAAGCCTGGCCCAAACAATCGGTATTGCTTGAATCCTGAATGTGTCTTCTGTGGTTGACTATAGGGAATAAGTCTGTTTAGAATGCACATTTAAAGGTAGATACAAAGCTAAGAAATCAAGTAGCAAGATGTGGCCATAGTCTCAGTTCCTGTGGTCCTTAGTCTGCTGGCAAGGGCATGCACAAGGTAGGCTGAAGCTGAGACTAAACCTTTAGTTGTCATACATGAGCCTGGATTCTTAGATTTGTTAGCATACATGGATGGTCACATTAGGAGCCTCTTGGGATGTGCTGTGTGACTTAGGAAAAGTTTCTTAATCTCTCTGAGATTCAGTTTCTTCAGGGACTTTATATAGGGGTTGGTGGTTAAAAATACTGACTGTGGTAGGAAGCATATTGGGTGGGAGTATTGATTCATAGCATATAGCAGTTTCTGTAGAGTAAGTATTCTCATCAGGACCATTTTCAGCCACTAATATGACATGCAGGACTTGAAGTTGGGAAGAGATAGATATAGTTATCTTGCTAGTGAATAGGAGCTGGCTGTAACATACTACCTGATAAGGTCTAATGGATCCAAACTACTTGACCTTGTGGAATCTAGATATGCTAAAGAATGGATTGGGAAGAGATATTTCAGCAAGATTCGAGTCTTCTGTTATCTATGCTTTAAGAAGTTTGCAGGAAATTACTTTTTTAAAACCCTTATTGCCACTAATCTCTGTAATGGTGCTCAACCTCAGCTAGCCTTGAGGACATTTGGAATGCATTTAGCCCCCAGTAAGACAAATAAAGTGACCAGACAGAGACACTTGATTTTCATAGATCAGGCTAACAAACTTGGTGAGTAGTTTTAAAAAGAGAGAGCTAGAAGATATTTTGTTTTTACTGATTTTGTTTAAAGCTTAAAATACTTTTTTTGCTCTAGTAAATTATACAGAGAATATTAATGTTCCAACCTTCTTTTTAAAAATTCTTTCCTATCAGTCATTTTTACTATTGTCCACAAAGAAAGACCAACTGCCAAGAAATATCCATGTCCCTGAGTTATCACTGAAAAGACTCTTTGAGGTAAGAAGTCCTTTTGAAACATGTGGCTTCAAATCAGACCACTTACCTGTGTTTAGGGCTTTCCTTTGAACTGATATATTTATTACATTACAATGTATTATGGTATAATATTATATTATATTGCATGTATATATGATATATGTACACATATATGTATATACATATGTACATATGTATTTGCCAGTACCAGGCTTTGAACTCAAGGCATTACACTTACTTGGCTTGCTGGCTTAGCTGGAACTCTGCTTGAGCTATACCTCTAGCCCAGCTTATGCTGGTCATTTTGGAGATGGATCTGGCCTATAGCCACCTGAGAAGTTAGGATTAAAGGTAGGGGCCACTGGCACCAGCAATTTTTAAAACTTTTTTTTTTATTCTTTTTGGTACTGAATATTGAACCCAAGGCTTTATGCATATTCATTTACCACTTGAGCCATAACCCCAGCCCGTTTGTTTGTTTGTTTGAATTAGAGCCTTATTAGCCTGGTCTGGCCTTGAACTCACTATCCTCCTATCTCTGCCTCTTAAGTAGCTAGGATTACAGGTGTACATCACCACATATGGCAAAATACATCATTTATAGAATCTTGGGCTTAAGATATAGAGAATAGGTTTGACTGATTCCAAATTATGTAGATGAAAGACTTAAGTTTTATATTGATGTAGCAGTTGATTTTTTCCAGAAATATGTCTTCATTGGGATTTATGAAAAAATGGAACAGGTGCCCAGATTGGTCCAGTGGCTGATCTCCATTGGTGCAAGTGTCGAGACCATAGGACCCTGCCCTCTCCATGCCCTCATGAGGCTCTGCATTCGAGCAGGTGAATGTTGTCCTGTCAAACGCCCACCCCTGTGTCATTTTCCAGCTCAGATGGAGCCCCAGGACCCTGCTGAGCTCAAGTGAATGCAAAATTTAGCTGCTTAAATATAGACTATTCAAATTGTGTTTTCAAATGGATGAAAGAAACAGGGAAAAATCACTTTTATTTCTTCTTTCCCCCCGACTTTTTTTTTTTTTGCCAATCCTGGGGCTTGAACTCAGGGTCTGGGCACTATCCTTGAGCTTCTTTTGCTCAAGGCTAGCGCTCTACCACTTGAGCCACAGCACCACTTCTGGCTTTTTTCTGTGTATGTGATAGTGAGGAATTGAACTCAGGGCTTCACACATGCAAGGCAAGCACTCTACCACTGAGCCACATTCCGAGCCCACATCACTTTTATTTCTTAAGGGACTTAGTGTCCACACAAGAGGTCAAACTGAAAGGCTTTTGTTTTCTTAAACACAGACTCTTTTGTATTTAAGGTAGGAACAGCTGGGTGCTGGAGGCTCACACCTATTATCCTAGCTTCTCAGAAGGCTGAGATCTGAGGATCCTGGATCAAAGCCAGCCCAAGCAGGAGAGTCTGTGAGACTTTTATCTCCAATTAACCACCAAAAAGCTGGAAGTGGAGCTGTGGCTCAAGTGGTAGAGTGTTCATCTTGATCTGAAGAGCTCAGGGACAGCTCCCAGGCCTAGTTTAAGCCCCATGATGGACAAAAAAAAGAGTGAGCATTCAGAGTGGAGTCCTTGGACTCAAGGGGAGTATTTGGGAATGAGAGCTGTTGTTGATAGTACCTCCAAGAGAGCTGTGTTCTCTTTCTGCTAGCAAAAACAGAGTGTGTGCTTTCCTATTCTCCAGATTTATTTTCTTTCTAGCCCAGAAGATGCTGTAATATTGGACTGTAGTTGGGAATTTCTAAGGGAAGCATGGGGTATTACTGATAGAATTTTTTTGTGGCTCTTTTGAAGGACAACTATTTTCATGAAATCATTCTTTTTTAAAAAGTTTTACAATATAGTTATAAGGTTTAATTTTTAAAAACATTTTTATTCTTTCATTTCACTTACACACACACACACACACACACAGAAGTTTGTGTTTCCTTGCCAAGCATAGGGAGCATCACTGGTGAAATCCAGTCATACCATTTTAGCGCCAAAGGGGCCAAGGGAGCTTGTCTACTTGGCCTTTTAGTCTGTGCCATCTTCCAAGAATGGGTGTGGGTGACCATCACTTTAGGGTTTAGACACTAATCTTCGTTTTAGCCATACTTTCCCTGCCATTTCTATTTCATATATTGGGGAATCCATAAGAGATTTTATTCTTACACAAGGATGGGTGGACAAAACATTTAGAAGATAGTCTGATTGAAAGCGGTTTAATCCAACTGTCCCATTTTCAAATTAGGAAACTGCAACACAGAGAAGTGTTCCTTTGGTCATAAATGTCATGACCTCTTGTGTCTGCTCTTTAAGTTAGCCCCTGCAGTTACTGGCTGTCTTGATAAGACCAAGTCTTCAAATTTATCCCTAATTGGCTTCTCAAAGGATAACTCTGACATGGTGTGTAGCTTTCCTAGATTTCAGGAGCTATAAGGAAGATGTCTGAGAAAAGAATTTAAAATATATGTCCTGCTGATAGTAATGTAGTAATGAATCATGCTGGCTTGATGACTGAAGTGGAGGCTGCTGATGTCCCTCTTAGACAAGTGCTCTGTCCCTGCCTGTTGTCAACATTGGCTGCTAACAATGATTATCTGCCCTTTAGGCAGAGAATTATACCTTGCCAATAAACATCACTTTGAAGGGAGCTGCTTCTTCAACTTTGTTTTCTTCCTTGATAATTCAGTAACTTTGGACTGACTGCCTAGGGAATGCAAAAGGCTGGCCCCATGCCCCAGAGTGTGTCAGTGTGGTGGTTCAGATCATGACCCAGAGCTGTTCAGGGGCATCAGGCTGGAGTTGAGTGCAGCTGTGACTACTTCCTTGCTTAGTTCCTTCATCTACCCTGTTCTGTTTCTCATTCTTTCGAGTCTAAATCACATGTATGAGAATCCTTGTTTTAGGACTGCAGCCCCCTGACCTAAGGAATATTTTTTTCATCATTCTGGTTTACAAATGTCTGTCTCCTCTCCCCCCATACTTGTTTGTGGTGAGTGGGAATATGTGTTGAATTCCTCATTTGGTTATGTTAGCATGGTGCATATTGATTTTTTTGCTGACTTTGTGTATGCAGAAAATCATATTTATAACTTACTTTATTTCACTTCAGGTGAAAACCAACTTTTTAGATGGCTAATGAACAGCAGGCCTGAGTGGAAAGGCCGCATCAACCAAAAGGATGAGGCTGGTTGCACTGTTTTGCATGTTGCTGCTGCCCACTCCCCAGGATATTCCATCAAGCGTAAGTAATAACATGGTATCAGAGGGTGTGTTGTGTGCCAGGTGATCAGGCATTAACACCACTGCCTTCTGAATTTTACTTATCCCATCCTTCATCAGGCTCAAGGCCTAAACTTTCCCTTGTACTCTTTTGGCTTTAAATGGCTTTTTGTGAGGGTGAAGGATTCAATGACATGGGTATATTCAATGGCATAGCTGCATATTTTCACTTCCTCAGTTGTAAAGTTCTTTTATTAGCAGCTTAAGATAAATTGTGAGCCAGACAATTAACATGCTTTGGCCCTTCATGGCATTTAAAACTTAACATGGGAATTACACACTACCATACTCCTAGGGGCCAATCAAGCCAATGGAAGGGATTGGCACAGGTGAGGAAAAGTTACTGTGACAGGTACAGCCTTGTTAAACTGAAAGTCAGGAAGACTCTTTGCTCCCAAGGAGTTCTTTGATGGCATGAATTTTCCCTTACACTTTCAGATCTGTTTTTGTGTGTTTTCTGTTTTGAATGGAGAAAAAACTTTTCTTTTTCCATAATGGTAATGGAGTTGGTGGGAAAGAGGTGATAGAATGGCGAGCTTATACCTGGTACTGCTACAGCCTGGAGCTATCTTGCATCAAATTATGTGTAAGATCTTCTGATGGAAAAACATTTTGAAATCTGAATTAAAAAACTGAAATGTTGGGATTTTCAAATCTTGGATCAGAATAAAATGTTCCTGTGGATTAGACATGGCCTATAGCCTGCCTCCATTTGGGGCAACCTAGGAAATTGCAACTTTTCTATTTCAGTAGGTCTCAAGAAGAGCCAATAAGTCTTGTTTCTTTTCTTTTTTTTTTTTATTGTCAAGGTGATGTACAGAAAGGTTATAGTTACATAAGTAAGGCAATAAGTATACTTCTTGTCAAACTTGTTACCCCTTCTTTCATTTTTCTCCTACTTTCCCTTCCTCCTAGTCCCCCTTCCAAGTTGTATTAATCATTTCTGACATATTGTCTTGTGAATATCACGGTTGCATTGGTTCCCCTCTTGTCCTTTGTCTCTCTTTTTTTTTTTTTTCAGGTAAGGGGTAAGTTTATTCAATAGACCTGCTGGGACCAGGCAAGGTTGGCACTCCACGTGGCTGGGAAAGAGAGAGGAAAGAGCTAGAAAAGAGCAGAGAGAGCAGAGAGAGCTAGAAAAGAGCAGCAAGAGAGAGCCTCTGGGCCTGGGCTAGGCCTTATCTAGGGTATGGGGGGAGAAGGGTGTGGCCACATCAAATTCAGATGTGACCTCAGCGGAAGAGAAGAGCTTGAGAAGAGCTAGACAAGAGCAGAGAGAGAGGTAGCCGAGTAAGAACAGCAGCACTCACGTGGTATTCAGGTAAGGGGTAGGTTTATTCAGTAGACCTGCTGGGACCAGGCAAGGTTGGCACTCCACGTGACTGGGAAAGGCCTGGGAATGAGAGCTGGGAAAGAGAGGAAAGAGAGAGGAAAGAGCTAGAGAGAAAGCAGAGAGAGCTAGAAAGAGCAGCAAGAGAGATAGAAAAGAGCAGTGAGTGAGATAGAGAGCTAGAAAAGAGCAGCAAGAGAGCAGAAAGATCAGAGAGAGAGCAGAGAGAGCTAGAAAAGAACAGAGAAAGAAGAGAGAGCTAGAAAAGAACACAGAGAGAGTGTCCTTTGTCTCTTTAATGTCATTCCTCACTGGCACTGGGTTTGAATTTAGGGTCTAACATTATTGCTTGGCTTTCTCTCTCAGGGCTGCTGCTCTACCACTTGAGGCATGTCTCTAGTTTCAGATTTTTTCTGGTTAGTTGAGACTCATAGATTTATTTATATGGCTTCAAACCACAATCCTCAGCTCTCAGCCTTCCTCCTGAGTAGCCAAGATCATGGGCATGAGCCATTAGTACTTGCTTCTAGTATAGGAATCTCTCTAGCATTTCTCTTTTACTCCCCTTCCCTTCCCTCCCTTCCCCTCCCCTTCTTTTCTCTCCCTTCCCCTCCCCTTCCTTTTTCCTCCCCTCTTCTTCTCCTCCCCTCTCCTCTTCTTCCCCTTCCTTCCTCTCCCTTCCCCTCTTCTTCCCTTCCCCTTCCTCTCTGCTCCTCTCCCCTCTTCCCCCTCCCTTTTCTTCCCTCCCTTCCCCTCTTCTTCCCCTCTCTTCCCCTTCCCTCTCTCCTCTCCCCTCTTCTTCACCTCCCTCCCTTCCTTCCTCCCTCCCTCCCTCCCTTCCTTCCTCCCTCCCTCCCTCCCTTCCTTCCTTCTCTCTTTTCTTTCTCTCCTTTTCTCTTCCCTTCCTCTTCCCTTTCCCTTCCTCTTCCCTTCCCCTTCCCCTGTCCCTACCCCTTTCCTTTCCCATCTCCTGCCCCTTACCCTTTCTCTCTTCTCTTTTTCTTTCCTTATTTCCTCTTTTCTTCTTGTTTTATTGCTGGGATTTGAGTGTGGGGCCTTGCCCTTGCAAAGCAGGTGCTCTTCAGACATATCTCCCAGTCCTTTATGATCTCTCCTTATTTTTCAAATAGGGTTTTACTTTTTGCCCTGACCAGCCTGGACCATGACCACTCTATTTATACTTTCCAAATAGCTAGGATGATTGGTCAACGCCTTTGGTTGAGATGGGGGGAGGGCTGTCTAGTGAATTTTTTTGTACCAACTGTCTATCCTACAGATTTCTGCCTACTGAGTAACTAAGATTACAGGCATAGCCATCATACTCTACTCTCTACTTTTAAACATTTCTGTAGGACCCATCTGATGGTGATAAATCTCAGTTATTGCTTATCTTAGAAAATATTTCTTCTTCATTTATGATAGATAACTTTTCTTTTTTTTTTTTTTTTTAAAGATTTCTTTTTT